GTTCTGTTCTGTTCTGTTCTGTTCTATTTTTATTCTATTCTATTCTGTTCTTGTTCCTGTTCCTGTTCTATTTCCTGTTCTATTTCCTATTCTCTTTTCTATTATATTCTCTCTTTTTTCTCTTTTCTATTCTGTATTCTGTATTCTGTATTCTATTCTATTCTATTCTATTCTATTCTATTCTATTCTTGTTTCTGTTCCTGTTCTATTTCCTGTTCTATTTCCTATTCTCTTTTCTATTATATTCTCTCTTTTTTCTCTTTTCTATTCTGTATTCTGTATTCTCTATTCTATTCTATTCTATTCTATTCTATTCTATTCTATTCTTGTTTCTGTTCCTGTTCTATTTCCTGTTCTATTTCCTATTCTCTTTTCTATTCTATTCTCTCTTTTTTCTCTTTTCTATTCTCTATTCTATTCTGTATTCTGTATTCTGTATTCTATTTTCTATTTTCTATTCTATTCTATTCTATTCTATTCTATTCTAGTTTCTGTTTCTGTTCCTGTTCTATTTCCTATTCTACTTCCTATTCTTTCTATTCTATTCTCTCTTTCTCTTTTCTATTCTTTCCTATTCTTTCCTATTCTATTCTATTCTATTCTATTCTATTCTTGTTCTTCTTCTTGTTCCTGTTCCTGTTCCTGTTATATTTCCTATTCTGTTTTCTATTTTCTATTCTCTTTTCTCTCTTTTCTCTTTTCTTTTCTATTCTACTCTATTCTACCATACCACCCCCCACCCAACCCTATTCCTATTCCATTAAGTGTGTTTATAACTTCTGAAACTACCCCAAATTTTTCCAGATTTGGACAGTGTAGGAATTCTATCAATAAGCAACATCAACATGCAAGTCTATGCACATGTATCTTTCCCTTGCTTTCATTTTCACATTCTGAAGCATACGCAGTTATTTTTTTAAAAAATAGCAATAGCAGTTAGACTTATATACCGCTTCATAGGGCTTTCAGCCCTTTCTAAACGGTTTACAGAGTCAGCATATTGCTCCCAACAACAATCCGGGTCCTCAAAATCAAAAAAATCAAAAACAGGACAACCATGTAAATGGGTGGTTAAAGGGATGCTTGTTTAAAAATTGATGTTTTGCAGATCAAAATTGTGGGTGGAGGAAAGCAAAGGTTTCACAACTAGCTCTCATTCTAAAACCAAAACCTGAATATGTCATGTTAAAAGAAGTTTGCGAGATTTCTTTTTAAAGGTGAAACCAGACTAAACATATTTTATTGCATAAGAATCATCTAAGGAAAGAGGAAACTACTGTAAAATAGTTGCATCTTCTCGCAACTTGTGCAGAATTACCAAGGTTGTGAAAGTCATTCAATATTGCTTTTCTCTTGGCAGAATTTTTAATGCTAAATTTATTTTTGGCATTCTTTCATTTCCAATTAGAAAATTACCAGTCGATGCTGCTAAGGGAAAATGATATTCAAATCCTATTTAATAGGATTATGCAATATCTACAGTATATATATATGTAAACCAGCACATACTAAAAGGACAAAGGAGCCTTTTCCAGAGAACGGATATCAATTCGATTTTCTAAAAAATTGGAATACGAAGAATAGATTGAAAAAAGTCATTTCTGGAATTCTTGGAAAACTACCATAGGTGTAAGTCATTCAACTGCTCTCCAAGTGGTAGTTCTGCAATAAAGGCCATTCTTGGTTTGGAACATTCCAAAGCCATGAAATTAAATACTTTTTTAGCACCTTTCTAAAAATTGAACTTTGTGCGTCGTGAAAATCCTAACGAGAATCCTATAGAGAAGTTCGCACTCAAATGAAGCCATCCAATTTTGATTTGCATGTATTTTTATTTGTTTGTTTGTTTATTTATTTATTTATTTTGCCAGGCATGTATAAGATAACAGATGTAAGTATAAACATGATTATGTATAGAGGAAATGGATACGAATAAGTGGGGACAGTAGGACAGGGATGGTAGGCACGTTGGTGCGTTTATGCACGCCCCTAACAGACCTCTTAGGAATGGGGTGAGGTCAACAGTAGACAGTTTAAGGTTAAGGTTTTGGGGGTTTGGGGAAGAAACCACAGCGTCAGGGAGTGCATCCCAGGCATTAACCATTCTGTTGCTGAAGT